TAAAAAAATATATATATATATCTTATATATATTACATCAGAAGCTATCACCCCTCTAACTTCTGTGGCAGCGGGAAGGGGAATTTGAGGCTCTGCACCGAAGGCTGGGAAGAGAAGCAGGCTCTTTAAAAGCCAAACTTTTAACTTTATCAGTGAAATGTAACTGATGTGACATACCTTTTGTAGGGAGAGAGATCCACTCACAGTCTTGCCATCCTCCAAGCTAAAATACTTAAGTAAAAATCTTTTTTGTTCATTTCTTTGACCCTGTGTCAGTCTTTAAGGAAATGCTTAATTGACTCTGTTGTGCTATACATAAACGTTCAAAAGTCTCTGCCTTAAGGTCATATATTGCTCAGTCCATTTGAGGCCAACTTTTCTAACAGAAGTGTCACAAATAAGGCTCTGTACCACTCTGATCCTTGTCCCTGCCCAATCTGCTGCCTTGCTTTCTGTTCCCTGTGTTATCTTCTGCTGTGCTGCCTGCTCCCTTACCCAATCTGCTATGTGCCATACACAGAGGCTTCCACATGCCATAAATTGGCTACCCCTGGGTCAGTCCATACCTATCACCAAGCAGTATGCATAGATTCTCTTTATCCCACTTTCTCCTTTTATAAAAGGGGAGGGTTGGTACATACTTTCCTTTGTACAACACTGAGATAATGCATGAAAGCACTAGAACAGGCTACACAGAGAGGTTGTGGAATCTCCATCTTTGGAAGATTTTAAGACCTGGCTAGACAAAGCCTTGACTGGGATGATGTAGTTGATGATAGTCATGCTTTGAGCAGGGGGTTGGACTAAATGACCTCCTGAAGTCCCTTCCAACCCTAATTTTGTATGATTTTATGAAAGTGCTATGTAAACTAAGTGGTGTGCTGGGTAAGTTGGTGTCTTTGATGCAGTCATAGGTAAGGGTGATGCTAGCCATTGTTCCTTAAGATGAATCAAAAGAAGAGACTAAACTCTTCTAGTAAGATACCTGAAACATCAGCAACCCTGTCCAATGCATAAATCAGCATGACAAGGCCTGAACAGAAGCTGAGCCATATGGCTAAACGAGTTTACATGAAGGTCCCAGCTGCCCCTGGCTGAGTGGGGAATCCCTGCCCATCTGAGGGCTCACTGCCAGCTGCTCCACCATAGTTTCATAGTTTCATAGATTTAGGGTTGGAAGGGA